GGGTTGTTCTACCACTGAGTGCATTCCTAACCCTTTTATTTTTTTATTTTGAGATAAGATCTAGCTAAGTTGCTGAGGCTCAAATTTGAGATCCTTTTAAGTTGCTGGTATTATAGGTGTGCCATCATGTCTAGCCAAGCCTTTATAATTTTTAAAAAATATTTTAGTTTTTTTTTACTTAGGTGGACACAATATATTTTTTATTTTTATGTAGGGTTAAGGATCAAACCCAGTGCCCCGCGCATGCCAGGCGAGCGTGCTACTGCTTGAGCCACATCCCCAGCCCAATATAATTTTTTTTTAATATTTATTTTTTAGGTGTAGATGGATACAATACAATGTCTTTATTTTTATGTGGTGCTGAGGATCCAACTCGGGTCCTGCCCTTGCTAGGCGAGCACTCTACCTCTGAGCTACAATCGCAGCCCAATCCTTTATAATTTTTTAAGGCCTCTTTAGCAACTTGTAAATTTTATTTTTTTTTAATTTTAATTTTGTAGTGTTGGGCATTGAATCCAGAACTCATACATCCTAGGGAAGCACTACCACTGAGCTATACCCCTAGTCTCATACAATATATTGTTACTAAATTTTACAGATACAAAATGAGATTCACAAAGGTTGGTTAAGGGATTGCCCAAGATGACATAACTAATTGGTAACCAGTCTAAAATTCCAGCCTAGATCTCAGCCAGGAGATCTGTATGCCTATAATTCTAATTACTTGGGATGTAGGAGTGCCAGCCTCAGCAATTGAGACTCTATGTCAAAATAAATTTTAAAAGCTGGGTTTAATCCCCATACCAAAACAAAAACAAACCTAGATCTCTCCCAACTTCAGAATTGAACTGATTGAACTTAGAACTTTCTTGGAATAAATAACCTTTTCTCCTTACCCATTGTGGATAGCAGAATTGAGTCCACCTTAAAGTAAAGGAAATGGACAAAAATAGTTCTAAAGTTTTAGCCATTCCTTCAGATTCTACAGGAGAAATTCATATTTTTTCCAGGTTGTAGGTTACAGTTTACATTTGAGTCTTTTGTTGTTGTTGTTAATATTTTTTTAGTTGTAGATGAACACAATACTTTTTTTAATATATGTGGTGCGGAGGATCGAACCCAGTGCTTCACACATGCCAGGCAGGTGCTGTACCATTGAGTTACAACTCCAGTCCCTTTACTTGAGTTTTATTACACTCACCCACTGTCTTCTGTGTTACAGAGCAGATTCTCTTTTAAATCAGTGCTCAAACTTCACTGTGCCTAGCAACACTATTAAGCTACAGATTCTGATTTACATAGATCTGGGGCAGGCCTGAGAGTCTGAATTTCTAACAAGTTCTCAAATGTCTCTTTTTTCTTTATTTTTCTTTTTTGAGATAGGGGGCTGTTTTGCCCAGTTTGACCCCTGATCCTCCTACCTCAACCTACTGAGTAGCTGGGACTCTAGTCATCAAGGACCACCACATCCAGCTTCATGTGTTCTTTTTTTCTTTTTTTTAGTTGTTGATGGACCTTTATTTTATTATTTATATATATGTGGTGCTGAGAATTGAACCCAGTGACTCAGACGTGCTAGGCAAGCACTCTACCAATCTGAGCTACAATCCCAGCCCTTCATGTGTTCTTTTGAGCACCAAAGGTCTAAATCAGTAGCTGTCAAACTTGGGAAGTCGTAAGATTCATCTGGAGATCCTTCAAAAAGCAAATTTGTTTTCATTTTGCAGTGTTGAGTATCAAATCAGGGTCTTGAGCAATTCAGTTTGGGAGGGCTGGGGATGTAACTGTGTGGTAGACTGCTTGCCTGCCATGTGAGAAGGCCCTGGATTCAATCTCAAGCATCACCAAAACAATTTGGCTGCAAACTCAGAGATTTCTAATGTAAGAGTTTTTCTAGGGTAAGGTCTAGGAATTGTTTTGTTTCACAGGGGTTTTTGTTTGTTTTAAAGAATATTCCTCAGGTTGTTTTGATGATCAGTTTGGTCTAAAAGTTAAAATGTTGTGAATGCATCATCCGATACAACACAAACATGAGTAGGCAGTTAAAAGTGGAAGAACCAGTGCCAGATATGGTGGTGTGGGTTTGTAGTATGAGCTACTTGGGAGATGAGATTAGAGGATCAGTTGAGCCCGGGGCTTCAAGATCATCTTGGGCAATATAGCAAGATACCTCTATCTAAATAAATAAATAAGTAAGTAAAGTAAGAAATTCATATTTACTGGAAGAACTAATTCATTAACCTCAAGAGAAGAAGTAGCCCTGGATCTCAGAACAAAACAGAACCAGGAATTAGGAGGCCAGTAAGAACCAGGGGTGTCCACACTTACTCTCCTATGTTTTCTTTTCTCTGAGGACTGGCTTTGGTTAAAAATGGCCACTCTTAACAGTTTGGTCTAGTGCCATCAGCCAGTTCCACGTTCCTCAAAATTTTTTTTCATTGTAGATAGACATAAAACCTTTATTTATTTATTTTTGTGTGGTGCTGAGGATTGAACCCAGTGCCTCACACATGCTAGGCAAACTCCCTACCACTAAAACTACACCCTCAGCTTCCCTGAGAGAATTTGATGGCCCAGTTTTATCTAGCCTTCAAATTGATTCTCCCTGAACAAGAAGATCCCTCTGCACTATGATCAGGGAATCAGCACTTAACATCATGTAAACAACTGCAGGGTGTCACCCTTACAGGGATGTTGGAGCCTCCCAGAGAAGTTGGACAGATTGCCTAAAAGGTGACTATTACTATATATGCTTAAGTAGCTTAGCTTTGCAGGGCAAGAACCAAGAAGATATATCCTATGCTCTTGGAATTAGGAGGGAGTCATTTGCTTCATAAAAGACAGACAAGTAAATGAAATATTTTCAGTCAGTGTGGTGCTAATTCTCCCGAGTAACTGGAACTGTAGGCATGTACCACTGAACCTGATAGAATTTTAATTCATCTTCTTTTTTTTTTTTTTTTAGAGAGGGAGGGAGAGAGAGAGAGAGAGAATTTTTAATATTTATTTTTTAGTTATTGGCGGACACAACATCTTTGTTTGTATGTGGTGCTGAGGATCGAACCCGGGCCGCATGCACGCCAGGCGAGCGCGCTACCGCTTGAGCCACATTCCCAGCCCCTTAATTCATCTTCTTAAACTGTGCAGTATATGAAAGCATAGATTGTTTCTCTCATTCGTGGTTATATTCTTTCTTTCCCCCCACCCAGTTCTGGGGATCTAATCCAGGGTCTCATGTTCTAGGCAGTTGCTCTACCCTTGAGCTAGCCCTCAACTTGCTGAGGTAATTACATTAGCACCTGGAACAGTACTAGCAAATGAGTGAGTGAATGAAGGATTGAATCAAATGAAGAGTTTAATAATAGACTCGATTGGTTTCTTCTAAGACTGTTCTTTTCGGTAAAACATTCTCTGAGTTGAATCTTGAAATGTAAAAAGGATTTAGGTTGGTAGAAAGGTAGAGGAGAGGGGCTGGGGATGTGCTCAAGCGGTAGCGCTCTTGCCTGGCATGTGTGCCGCCTGGGTTCGATCCTCAGCACCACATACAAATAAAGATGTTGTGTCTGCCAAAAACTAAAAAAAATATAAATAAATAAATATTAAAATTCTCTTTCTCTCTCTCTCTCTCTCTTAAAAAGGAAGGAAGGAAGGAAGAAAGGAAGGGGAGAGCTTTTTAGGCAGAGGCAACACCATGGGCAAAGTCAAGAAGGTAGAGAACAGAATAGTGTGTGTAGTAGATATATCTGGAGTTACCAGAAGCCGAGTAAAAGTGATTGATAGGTTTAATGGTGGCTGTGAGATGCTCTGGGAATTATGTTTTGTTTATAAGTTTCTGTGCGTGTGAGGATTAGATATAAAATATGTTTATGCTGATAGAAAACTTTTTTTGGTGCCAGAGATTGAACCCAGGAGTATTTAACCCCCGAGCCACATCCCAAGCCCTTTTTATTTTTTATTTTGAGACATGGTCTCGGTAAGTTGCTTTAGGGCCTCGCTAAGTTGCTAAGGCTGGTTTGAACTTATGATCCTCCTGTCTCAGCTTCTGGAGCTGTTGGGATTACAGGTGTGCGCCATCACAGCTGGCCAGAAAACTTTACATTGGTCTGACTTTTTATGTCCATAACCTGATGCAAGGTCTGTTGGAAACATTGCACATATTCTGGACAAAATTTACTAATTCCTAATGTCTGTGTTCCAGTAGTGTTTTACTTATCTCTAACATTATGTTTTTCCTTTTTTTGGTACCAGGGATTTGAACTCGGGCACTTGATCACCGAGCCACATCCCTAGCCCTATTTTGTATTTTATTTAGAGATGGGGTCTCACTGAGTTGTTTAGCATCCTGCTTTTTGCTGAGGCTGGCTTTGAACTCATGATCCTGCTGCCTCAGCCTCCTGAGCTGCTGAGATTACAGGCATGTGCTTCCACACCCAGCTTGTTTTCATTTTTGATTTGTCTGTCCATACCTTTAATAATTTCCAGGATCAACTAAGCATAGTGACTCATGCCTGTATTCCCAGCAACTCAGGAGACTGAGGCAGAAGGAGAACGCAAGTTCAAGTCTAGCCTCAGCTCTTTCAATCTGCAGTGCCCACCTTAAGAAACTTACTGAGACTCAGTCTCAAGTTTTAAAAAAGGCGGGGGGCGGGGTGGCTAGAGATGTAGCTCAGTGCTAAAGCCCCCCTGGATTCCATCCTCAGTACCCTTCCCTTACCAAAAAATAAACAAACAAGGGCTAGGGGTGTGACTCAGTTCCCAGTAGTACTACAAAAATAAATAATTCCCAGGATGTAGTTTGTAGTAAACTTTAATTAAATGTTTGGAGGAAGGTGGTGTAGCTCAGTGTTAGAACACTTAGCTAGCCTGTGTGAGGCCCTAAGTTCAATCCTTGTAATAACAACAACAAAAAATGTTTGATGCATAACTGAACAAATGGATGTTTATACCCAGCATTAACCACATTAAATATGTTCAGCTTATGTATTGCTTTTGTTTTATAGCTATTTGTAGTTGATGTCCAGACAAGCCAAATCACCAAGATCCCTATTTTGAAAGACCGAGAGCCTGGAGGTGTGACCCAGCAGGGCTGTGGTATCCATGCGATTGAGCTGAATCCCTCTAGAACACTGTTAGCCACTGGAGGAGACAACCCCAACAGTCTTGCCATCTATCGACTGCCTACACTAGATCCTGTGTGTGTGGGAGATGTAAGTTTTCATAATAGGTGTAGTGAGATAACTTTTTCTTTTAATTGGCCTGGTAGATTACATGGACCTTTGTCCTCTAGACTTCTGCTTACTCTAAGGAAATGGGGATGAGTGTGGGGTGATGATAGTGGATTAGGGACTGGACTCCCATAGGGTGTATCAGTATGTTGACAGAGGATGTATATTTGATAAAAGAATAAGAAATACACTTGGGGACCAAATAAATAGCAGTGGATTTCTCTTTCAATCCCACATATTTTCCCATTGCCCAGAGTCAGAGAGAAGAATATTAAATCATTCATTCAGCAACTATTAATAAGTCTTTTATTGGCCAGGCATTGTTTTAGACCCTGGAGGACACAGTAGAATGGATGAAACAGAAAAAGCCCTTGCCCTCTTAAAGCCTGCATTCTGGTGAAGGGTGACATATTAACTAGTATGTAAGTCATATAAGCCAATAAGTGTTTACCAGTAATATGTCACAGTGTGATGTGTACCATGGAGAAGAATAATAGCAGGCTAAAGGGATTGAGTGAGGGAGAAAATGCTCTTTAAGAGGATAGAGAAAGCCTCATTGAGAAGATGACATTTGAGCAGGGAGACTTAAAGAAAATAAAGTGTAAGCCATGTACATTCAGACAGAAGAGGAGTCCCAGATAATATATCCAGGTAGAAGGCTAGAGTTGTGCATCATTTGGATGTGTTTTTACCCACAGTAGTGCCAGTTTTGTCCCAGCTTTGATATTCAAGAAAGATTGTGGGATCATGCCCACTGGGTTGAGTTCATTAGAAACCACAAGAACTATTTGTAGTCAGATCTGTATGCTTTTCAGGAGAGTTTATTAGAATACTTTATACACTAATTTCTTTGTTTTTCTCCCTGTACCTATCACTCTCTCCTTTCCAAGGATGGACACAAAGACTGGATCTTTTCCATTGCATGGATCAGTGATACTATGGCAGTGTCTGGTAAATTTACCCTTTTTTTTTTTTTAATTTTTTAAATATTTATTTTTTAGTTTTCAGTGGACACAACATCTTTATTTTATTTTTTTATGTGGTGCTGAGGATCGAACCCAGCACCCCGTGCATGCCAGGTGAGCGCGCTACTGCTTGAGCCACATCCCCAGCCCCAAATTTACCCTTTTTTAAGGAGCTTTTGGTGTGGCCAGAGAGGGCTAGAGGTTGAAAAGTGTTAGTTGTGAAATATGAATAACCTGGTAAACAAACACCATTATCAAGTGCTCTGAGATGGGGCCTCACTAAATTGCTGAGGTTAGCCTCTAGGACATCATATTTCCAATAATGGCTTTTTATTTATTTTTATGTGTTGCTGAGGATCGAACCCAGCACCTTGCACGTGCTAGGCTGGCGTTCTACCGCTGAGCCACAACCCCAGCCTCTGTAGGGTAACATCTTAGCCATAATATTTTTATGGGGCCTTATTGAGATAAAGTTTATGCAAGTGTTTTGGAAATGTTGATGTGGTCTCCAGAGTACAACAGGCTATTATTATTATTACTTTTTTCATTGCTGTTTTGGGATTGAACCCAGGGCCTTGCATATGCTAGGCAAGTACTATACCACTGAGCTATATCCCCAACACCCCGCCCCCACCTTTATTTTCTGTACAGGTTTATGGTTTGGAGCAATTTCTTTTTCAGTGGTTGGAACAAAACCAGATTTACCAAAACAACAACAACAACAAAAAAAACACAAATGCACAGTCTGGTGGCAATCCCCTTTGATCCCAGCCACTCAGGAAGCAGAGGCATGGGGATCCCAAGTGGGAAGCCAGCCTGGGCAGCTTAGTTAGTGAAACCCTGTCTCAAAATAAAAAGGGGCTGGAAATATAGCCCAATGGTAGAGTGCACCTGGATTCAATCTCTAGTACTGCAAAGAAAAAAGAGAGAAATGAGCCTAGAGAAATTAACCTAGAGAATCACAAATCCTTTCTGATACATCATTGGCCACACAAATACTAAGGGTGGAGCATGATTTGAATTCAAGTCTATGGTTTGTTGTTGTTATTGTTTGCAGTCTGGGAATTGAATCCAGGGGCACTCTACCACTGAGCTACATCCCCAGGTCCCCAGTTCTTGTTTAGCTTTAATTTCTTATTTTGCTAAGTTACTGAGGCTTGCCTTGAAACTGTCCTGCCTAAGTCTCCTGAGTAGCTGGTGTTATAAGTGTGCACCACTGCGCCCAGGTTTAAGTCTGGTTTTATTTATTTATTTATTTTGGTGCCAGGGATTGAACCCAGGGATCTCTGGCCCTTTTTTGTTTAGAGATAGGGTCCCACTGAGTGCTTATGGCCTTGCTAAGTTGCTGAAACAGGCTTTGAACTTCTGCCTCAGCCACTCAGGCTTTTGGGATTAGAGGCATGCATCACCACACCTGGCCAGGTCTGTCTTATTTTAAAGCCTATGTTTAGAACTGGCTATTTACAAAGATAAAGGGAACACAAATATTCCTTCTTTGGGTTCTTAGTAAGGCAATAGAAAGCATCTAGAAGGGAATGTAAATCTAATAAACATAATCAAAGATCAGAGTTACCCAGAAAGGGGTTGAGAAGATTTTAGATTCCTTGTCAAGGAATGAGAGAGCTCCTTTAAGGCAGAAACTGAGTCATGTCTCCTTTATGGGAAACCATGTTTTTGCTAGGTGCTTACACTAAATTTGGTTATTGAGGACTTAGTTTTGTTTGAGGAACCTTCTGTCTCTTCTTTCAGATACTCTCTCATTGTCTTATGTTCTCAAGTTGAGAGCTCCCACATCTACATTTCCTGAACATTATAGAGGAGTTTAAAACATTAGCTCCAGCCAGGTACAGTGGCACACTCACTCCTGCAAGCCCAGCAACTTGGGAGACTGAGGCAGGAAAATAGTAAGTTCAAGGTCAGCCTTTGCAACTGGCAGACCCTTTCTCCAAGTAAAAAGAGCTGAAGATGTAACTCAGTGATAGAGGACCTTGGGTTCAGTCCCCAATAGAAAGGATGTTAAGGATAGAATATGGTATAGAAATGGTAATTATAAAAGTTTTTCAATATTTTTATTGTTTTTTCCTTCTTTTTTTATGTTGCTGGGATTGAACCCTGGGCCTTGCACATGCTAGGCAGTTTCTTTTTGTTTGTGTGTGTGGTACTGTGTGGTACTGTGGTACTGAGGATTGAACCCTGGGCCTTGCACGTTGCTAATCCTTAATCTTTTTTTATTAAATTTTATTTTTGAGACAGGATTTGGCTATGTTGCTCAGGAATGCCTTGAACTGTAATCTTCTTGCCTCAGACTTACAGGATTACAGGTGTACACCATCACACCCAACTAAAACAGACTCTTTTTTTTTCCCCATGGTACTGGGGATTGAACCTAGAGCTCACATGTGCTAGGCAAGTTTTCTACCACTAATCTACATCTCCAGCCATAGAAAAAATATTCTTAGTAAGGGGACAGTGCTCCCTTATGGGACAGGACCGTGGACCTCCCTGAAATTGGATCTAAAGAAAGAGATCTGTAACATTCCTAATCTCTTTTTTTATTTTTTATGTTTTTTTTTAAAGAGAAAGAGAATTTTAATATTTATTTTTTAGTTTTCGGCGGACACAACATCTTTGTTTGTATGTGGTGCTGAGGATCGAACCCGGGCCGCACGCATGCCAGGCAAGCGCGCTACTGCTTGAGCCACATCCCCAGCCCCATTCCTAATCTCTCAAAGGAATCCAAGACTTAAAGTTAATCATTGCTGATCTAAAGTGGAGGTTTCCAAATCCTAGTGGCCACTAGAAGTTGGCTGCAGATATATTCCAGTTTCCTAAGTATTTAGCTTGGAAAATTACTGGGTTTTATCAAACTGTTTAAAATTCTGTTTTTAAAAATCCCCACTCAGCAACTAAGGAGGCTGAGGCAGGAGGATCATAAGTTTGAGGCCAGCCTCAGAAGCTTAGCAAGGTCCTAAGCAACTTAGTGAGATGGTGCCTCGAAATTAAAAATAAAAAGAACTGGGTATGTAACTCAGTGGTGAGTGCTTCTGGGTTCAGTCCATCTGACTCCACTAATCATGTTAAGCTGAAAGGTCATATTTTACTTCCTAGGCCTTAGTTGATTGTCCTCTTAATATAGCTGGCTGTGAATGTAGCTCAGTGGTAGAGTACTTGCCTAGTATGTATAACACCATTGGATTCAATCCCTAACACTGAAAAAAAAGAAAAAGAAAAGAAACAAAAGGCAAGAAATGTCTAGTTTTGCTGTTGAAATGGGCCGCCTGGTACTCTAGATCAGTTATAATATGAGGATGATGCTGTGAACTTCAAAAAGCCCATCTTGGCTTCTGTGGAATTGTCACATGGAGAGTTGAATATATCTGACATCTGTGGTCTCTTTCATACAGGCTCACGTGATGGTTCTATGGGACTCTGGGAGGTGACAGATGATGTGTTGACCAAAAGTGATGCAAGGCACAATATGTCAAGGGTCCCCGTGTATGCTCACATCACTCACAAAGCCTTAAAGGACATCCCCAAGGAAGACACAAACCCTGACAACTGCAAGGTCCGGGCTTTGGCCTTCAACAACAAGAACAAGGTATGAAATCACCAGACACTTCCTTTTGACTCACATCTTAAAGGTGCATTCCACTTTCCTCTCTCCATGTCACTGCTTGCTTTGTAACTTGGTTTTGAACCTACAGAGCACCTCTTAAATGCTGAGGGATGCTAGTGAGAAATTTTAACCGAGATTGTGAAAATCTGCCCTTGGATTGACCTCTATGTTATTTTTCTGGGTGGCCCATACATGTGGGTGAGCCTCAAAGTTTTTCCCTGGGGCCACTCTGATTTGACTGTCCCTCATTTGCACATCCTTTTATAGGTACTCTGTTTTGGCTGTGGTTTTCATACTTGCCTCTAAAAGCAATAAATTTTTTTCTCCATTACTTAATTCCTTCTCATTTTTTACTTCTTTATTTCCCTTCATGCTGCCACCAGGTCTTACCTAGTCATTATGTCAGATCCCCTGGCACTGAGGTTTTAAGGAGAGTGTAAGAATGTACACCCAAAAGCCATATGTGGTGGCATGTGCTTGAAATCCCAGCTACTGAAGGGTTGAGGCAGGAAGATTACAAGTTTGAGACAAGCCTGGCAACTTAGCAAGAACCTGTCTCAAAAATTTTAGAAAAGGCTGGAGATATAGTTAAGTGGTAAAATATACATGGGTTCAATCCCAAGTACCATTAAAAAAATTAATAAAAATAAACAACACATACGCACATAAGAATATAGACCCAGAACCAGAAAAGGAGAAAGACTTCTACAAAATCTGAACCTGGCCTTTAATTTTACTTTTGAAACACATGTACACTTCAGCAAACTCTTTGAGGCCACTCATTCTATAGATAAGTTAGGATTTCAAGAATAATAATATTTAATAGCCGGGCATGCCTGTAATCCCAGCGGCTTGGGAGGCTGAGACAGGAGGATTGTGAGTTCAAAGCCAGCCTCAGCAATGGTGAGGCACTAAGCAACTGAGTGAGACCCTGTCTCTAAATAAAATACAAAATAGGGCTGGGGAAGTGGCTCAGGGGCCAAGCACCCCTGCATTTAGTCCCCAGTTCCCACCCCTCAAAAAAGAATATTATTATTTAATAAATCCTAAAGCATACTCTTTTGGATTAACAGGGTAAAACCAGTTTTCTGCCTAAGACATTCCTGAGATTTGAGGACAAAAGAAATATTAGTGTTCAAGTTGGAGTAAATCCAATTTTTTTTTAAGTTCGTGGTAACTTGAAGTCCTCCAAAGCCAAAAGGTGAAATATACATTAATTTTTAAAGCAAAAATAAAACTGTTTTTAAAAATCTCTACTTTTTATATGTATTTTTTCCAGTAGTACCTTTTGCTATTCAGACAGAAAGGTTTGGAAGTAACGAGGCTATCAATCCAGGGGAAAACAAAAAAATAACTGCTAATTAACAGTACCAATTGCTTTTAGCAAAACATTCTTAAATTTGTAAAGTTTTGGCCCAAATCTTCAATCATGTTTTAGGCATATGTTTATTAGGAAGGACTCTTTGAACCATAGGTGTCTATGTTATTGCCAGGACCTGGACTTGCTTCTTGCAGTTTATCATGTTGTCTAGTTGCAGTTCATAGGGTGAAGTGATGAGCTGATAATTAATTATTGGCACTTGTTGGCATCATCAAGGTAGAGAACAAGAGAACCCTGACTTTGGGGGTCTTTCCCTGCATGCCTATCATACTTCTGTTGCTACAGATTGGACCGTAATCTGTTTTTCATTGCTGTTGTAGGAATTGGGAGCAGTATCCCTGGATGGCTACTTTCATCTCTGGAAAGCTGAAAATACATTGTCTAAGGTGTGATGAACATAACTTAGTTTTACCTATTAATTCACCTTATGATTAAAATACTCGATTTTTTGGACCTGAGGATATAGCTCAGTGGTAGACTACTTGCCTAATATGCCCAAGGCCCTAGGTTTGACCCCCAGCACACAAAATAATAAATAATAATTATAATTCTCCCTGAGCCTTTTCATTCTTGTGTAAAGCACTCTTTCTCTGATGCGCTGGGCATGTTATTGCGTAGTACATGCATGTCAGCATCTGGCATGCCTCTTGAAGTAAAAAAAAAGATGGAGGTGTGGGGTGATTCTTTTGAGATTACAGGGGTTTCCTGAGAGGCTCTTTTACCACCAGTTCTCCAGTTCACAATGCAGTTAAACAGTTGTTTATAAACTACTTGGCATGTAATAAAGGCAGAAAAATCTAAATGTTAGGAACCATTGGCAATTGAAGATTAAATTAAGATAAATCATCTCTGAAGTAATCATGTAAGATAAAGCGAAAATGGACTTAATTTGCAGTTTTTGCAAGCAACTTGATCATTACTTTAAACCAAAATGTAGATTATTTGCCCTTGTCAAGAGTCAGAGGCATTTGCTGCTTATTATTTCTATAATAGGCTCTTTCTCAAGAGGAAGCAGAACTCTGGGAATTATTGATTCCTTTGATCTCTGTTCTGCACCGTGTCTAACATGCAGTAGGCACCCATTGAGAATCGCTAGTATAAGGATCCAGGGTTAAGGCCAATTTGGGCTATCTGGGATTAAGCCAGTCCTGAGGGTGTGCTTTCTGTAGAGTACAATTCCCATTCAATTGAAGAGCCAGAAGTCAGCCCCTTTCTCAAAGAGCAGTGGGAAGGGTGGTAGCTCTTTCTGGAGACAGAACAAGGTGGTACCTTTATTTTAGTGCCGTGGTATTATTTCTGGAAACAACCTATGCATCCTGGCCTTTCCTGCCACTTCTGATATTTTAATTCCAGGTTAACTGTTTTCCCAAACTAAAGTATTATTTCCTTAATCAGGGTTTGCCTTAATCTCTGACTATGTGGCTAGCGTATGAGGGAAGCCCACTTAGGTGGGAATGGAAGAACAACACCTTATGCTCTCTGATGGTGCCGTGGTGGCACCTCTCCTCTCTCTTTTCAGCTCCTCTCTACCAAACTGCCATATTGCCGTGAGAATGTGTGTCTGGCCTATGGTAGTGAGTGGTCAGTGTATGCAGTGGGCTCTCAAGCTCATGTCTCCTTTTTGGATCCACGACAACCATCATATAACGTCAAGTCTGTCTGCTCCAGGGAGCGAGGCAGTGGTAAGACCTGGTGTGCCCTTTCGGCTCAAAACATGGAAGTATTGGTGAAAAAAAAAAATAAAAAGAGGAACTTAAATGCCTGCATATCACAGTAGTTTCAAACACCACAAACAAATGTGAGGCCACTAAACCCTTTGATAGAAACCACCAGTCAGGATTTTAGCAGTTTTGCCGGTCCAATCCCCACATTCTAAACCAGCCCACAAGATGCACTCAACCAGTAAGCTACATCTCCATCCCTTTTTTATTTTTAATTAAGGTCTCTGCTAAGTTGCTAAGGCTGGTCTCAAAACTTGAAGTCCTCCTGTCTCAGCCTTTTTAGTCGCTGGGGTTACTGGTGTGCTTCACACACCTGGCCATTTTCAGGTTGGTTGGTTGGTTGGTTGTGCTGAGTCTTGAACCCTGGGGTGCTTAACCATTGAGCCACATCCCCTGCCCATTTTATTTTTTTATTTAGAGACAAGGCTTCACTGAGTAGCTGAGCTCTGCTTTGAACTTGTGATTCTCCTACCTTAGCTTCCTGAGCCACTAGGACTATGGGCATGCACCACCAGTTTAAAATAAGGAATGGCATGGTGGGGTAAGGAGAAGTTTTCAAAGGGCATAAATAAATATATCCATTGTTTTGAATGTGATGATAGTGTTATGGATAATACAATATTATTAGACTCTCAAATTGTATACTTCAAATATATGCACTTGTACATATTATTGTATGTTATGTGACAATTCCACCTTAATGAAACTAAAGAAAATTTTGAATTCTAACCAGTAGGTGAGTTTATCTTCAGCCTCCAATCTTTGTTCTTTTTAGATGTACATGACAGTAGAGTATATAGCCTCCAATATTTTTTAGCATATTCTAAGAGCACCTGTGTTCTATATTGGGGGAAAAGACTTAGGTTTATACTATGCATTGTTTCAGAATATCTTTTTCTGGCATATTTCATCCTACCAAGTACCTCATGGAAAGCAGATAAAAGAAGAGTGTTTAAAAGTTTTAAGTGTTAATAGCATTGTTTAGATAAGACTGAGATCAGAGTGGCTAAATAACTTGCCCAAACCAGGTGTGGTGCCTGACATGGTGGCACATGCCTATAATCCCAGTGGCTCAGGGTGCTGAGGTAGGAGAATTGTGAGTTCACAGCCATCTCAGCAAATTAGCGAGGCCCTAAGCAACTCAGCAAGACCCTATCTCTAAATAAAATACAAAAAAGAGTTGGGGATGTGGCTCAGTGGTTAAGCACCACCCCTGGATTCAATCCTTGGTACAAAAATTTGAAAAATAAAAAACCAGATGTGGTCTCTGAAATCCCAGAGACTCGGGAGACTGAGGCATGAGAATCACAAGTTTGAGGTGAGCCTTAGCAATTTAGTGAGACCCTGTCTAAAAAAGGGGTGGGGATGTACAGAGTGCTTAGGCACCTCTGGGTACAATCCCTAGTACCATAGACACACACCAAAGAAGGTGGGAGGGGACTGGGGTATCGCTCAGTGTCAGAGCATTTGCCTTGCATGTGCTAGACCCTGGGTTTAGCCCCAGCACTGCAAAAAAAAAAAAAAAAAAAGTAATGCCCAGCATCACACAGCCTGATGTGGGAAGAGCCCAGAGATCAGAAACAAAGTAATATAGTATTTTCTTCTTTATCTCACTTATTTGCAAAAGGGGTTTCTTTTGCAAAAAAAAAAAAGGTTAATTGGGCCAAAGAGTCTCAGCACCGCATTTAAATAAATAAAATAGGGCTGGGGATGTGGCTCAAGCGGTAGCGCGCTCGCCTGGCCTGTGGCCAGGGTTCGATCCTCAGCACCACATACAAACAAAGATGTTGTGTCCGCCGAGAACTTAAATATTAAAAAAAATTCTCTCTCTCTCTCTCTCTCTCTCTCTCTCTCTCTCTCTCTCTCTCTCTGTCACTCTCTCTTAAAAAAAAATTAAAAATAAATAAATAAAATAAAGGTCCATTGACAACTAAAAAAAAATTTTTAAAAAGAAAAAAACTGGCTACTTAATTCTGAAAACCTAAAAGGCACAGTATGGATTACAGTTTTAACTTGTTTCCTTCAAGTAGCATTTATTCCTCCAAATATTTCCAAAGTTGCTTTTGTTTGCAGTTTGTTTTTAATATAGGTAAGATGTTCACTAGTAGAAGTCAGAAAACAACAATAATCGGAGTAGGAGGGAAGGAGTAAATAGGCTTAGCTGAAATAATGTATGCAGTGATTTATTTTATTTATTTTATTTTTTTGGTACCAGGGACTGAACTCCGGGGCACTCGACCACTGAGCCACATTCCCAGCCCTTTTTTGTATTTTATTTATTTAGAGACAGGGTCTCACTGAGTTGCTTAGTACCTCACCATTGCTGAGGCTGGCTTCGAATTCGTTATCCTCCTGCCTCCAACTCCCGAGCCACTGGGATTACAACATGCGCCACCATGACCAACTGCAGTGAAAATTTTTAAGAGATTAAGGGAATACTGATTCCACAAATATTGAGTTCTTCATATATACCAAGAGATATTTTTCTTTCTAGTATTTTTAGCTGTGGATGGACACAATATCTTTATTTTTTTATGTGGGGCTGAGAATTAAACCCAGTGCCTCACACATGCTAGGCAAGTATTCTACCACTGAGCTACAATCTACCCGGCCAAGAGATATCTTTGTGTGTGCGTGTGTATGTGTACACCAGAGATTGAACTCAAGGGCACTTGACCACTGAGCCATATCCCCAGCCCTATTTTATATTTTATTAGAAACAGGGTCTCACTGAGTTGCTTAGCTACTCGCTGAGTTTCTGAGGCTGGCCTTGAACTCAAGATCCTCCTGCCATTGCCTCCCACGCTGCACGGATTATAGGCACGTGCCACCACCGCACCCGGCCCAAGAAATATCTTCATATCCCATGAATTTATTTGATATTTGATCCACAGATACAGTAGATATATTTTCCCTAGTACCCAGAGGGAGTAGGTAACATGTCAGAAATGCACACTGTGAGTGAAAGACGGTACTCTTTGTGGTGCTGAACTCTGTGCCACCCCTCATAACACACTTAGTACCAGATAAGGTTGTCTTGCAGTGCCATGCTAATGGTTTTAGGTCAAGTACAAGAAAATTCTTATTTTTTAAAAAATATTTATTTTTTATAGTTTTTTTTTAGATGGACACGATATCTTTATTTTTTATTTTTATGTGGTGTTGAGGATAGAACCCAGCGCCCTACGCATGCCAGGCGAACATGCTACCGCTTGAGCCACATCCCCAGCCCGAAAATTCTTTTTGATGTAATGATTTGTAAATATTCACATTATCTTAAGTTGCAGTATAGGTTGGTATCATAGTGGAAAAGAGCTTTGAGTGATGACTCCAGAGTGACTCAGGGAGGCAAAGAAGTTCCCAGACACATGTTCTTTGGCCAGAATCATCTTAGGCATCATCAGAAATCTGGCTTTATGAGAGGATGATCAGAGGGTTCCTGTTAGTGAATATGAGCTATTTTTGCCTTAGAGTAGTATTTTCTAATATTAGGGGATGCAGTGAAAACTCAATATTGAAGAAATTCAGGCTAGCAGACTGCTAAGCATGTACTCTCTCTCCTCATTGCCATTTACTTTTCTCTTTCAGGGATCCGATCAGTGAGCTTCTATGAACACATAATCACTGTGGGCACAGGGCAGGGCTCCCTGCTGTTCTATGACATCCGAGCTCAGAGATTTCTGGAAGAGAGGCTTTCAGCTTGTTATGGGTCCAAACCCAGGCTAGCAGGGGAAAATCTGAAACTAACTACTGGCAAAGGCTGGCTGGTAAGTAAGCTCCCACATGAAATGGTTGTTGGACAGTGATAGATTATCTTCCCTCACCCCAACCCCTGCTGACACAAGACCTGCTCAAACTTTTTTACCTAGTAAGAGGCAATCCTTGGCATGAAGAGAGGTACTTTCTCCTGGGTTTGCTTTGTTCTGTATATTGCCTCTGGGAAAACAGAGGCCCAGTAAAATATACTGGGTGACTGGGGATTCTCCCACAAATGAAAAGAGAGCAGGAAGGATAAGGAACTTTCTGCTGCAACTGCCAGTGAATTATGTAATTTGGTTTCAACTATCCTCTTGAAAAGACCTGAGCTTTGTATATCAATTCTTCATCCTACTCAATTCTTCTCTAATGTTTAGTTGGAAATATGGGTCCAATTGCTATGAAAACATGTTTCCTGACATAAGGCTAAGGTATAGGACCACCTTCCTCTTACAGAGACCAGAAAGCATTCCTGTCCTCCTCCCTTTTCTGCCTTCTGACTTAAATGTGCTAACAGTCTCTTTGTTTTCCTGTAGAATCATGATGAAACCTGGAGGAATTACTTTTCGGACATTGATTTCTTCCCCAATGCTGTTTACACCCACTGCTACGACTCGTCCGGAACGAAACTCTTTGTGGCAGGAGGTCCCCTCCCTTCAGGGCTCCATGGGAACTATGCTGGGCTCTGGAGTTAATGACAACTCTCTCCCAAAATGCAGATTTACACTAACTTCCACTTTCAGTTTCCTTGTTTCTTCTTTTGATTTTTTTCCTCCCCCAATTGTGTGAAGCTCTCCTATTTTCATGGGAATACCAGTTTGCCCATGGTTTAGGCACTTAATAGGAAGAAGCTCTGTATAGAAATCAAAGGGTGTTTTTGTTTTGTTTTTTATTTTCTTTGTTTTTTGGTAATCAGAATTTTACTATCTTTTTTTCTCTTTCTCTAGCTTCTCAACCAAACATTGTTGCAAATCCCTATTTGTATTTTTTCTTAAAGTGGCACACACTTTTTCCCTCTCTGGCTTCTTTAGGCTGAAATGACGTAGTCATTCTCACCCTTCACTTTTCAGAGGTAGGGCTCCTTTATGTTTATGTGGTAGCTGTCAGACTTTCTGTGAAAGTTTGGGAGCCGTATGTATGTGTGAATGCATGTGAACTTGTGTGCCTGTAGGTAGTGTGTGTCACTGAAATTACCTGAAGTGAGGATTACTTTTAATTAAAATATTTATAAAAAAAAAAAACTTTATTCACAGAGTCCAGCTTTGGAACTGGTCTGTATCTTGTTTAAATTTTAAAGTCTAACAACATGATTGTAGGAAGTAAAAACACAAAGAAAATTACCACAGGGAACATCTTTTGAGTTGAGATTTCAGATAGCTTGGGGCCTTCTATGCCAGGACTCCAAAGTAATCCAGCCTTACCTTTCTTTTCACCTTCATGTCCCCCAAGTGAGAATACTGGTGCATGTGTCACTGCCACTTCCCAACCTCCCATCTATTTAGCTAGTGGCAACTTTCCTAAAACATCATAGGACTTGGTAAAGGGAACTGCATCCCAACCTCCCTTTCCTTATTCTCAAACAAAACCTCATCTGGTATTTTAGGAGCCTAGGGCTGGGGCTCACAAGTCTGCTAAGGTTCCCATACATAGTCCCTTTGGCTTTGAAAGAAACTTCTCCTTTGTCGTTCTTCCAATCTCCCCAGTGGATTTTCCTGCTGTTTTCTAAATTAGGTTCAGTCCAGGAGGGTAAGGGTCAGCAGTAGGTTTATCTGTGTGTAATGAGTGCTTCATGTGTGGAATATTTGTTTTGTCAATGCAGTGGAATTTAGGATTAAAGCCACGTTTTTTGCTCAGTTGGCTCAGCCCTGGGATGGTGATGGGATGGCCTGTAGCCAGCATCATTGTGCATGTAACAGCATCGATGTGATTAGTAATTTATCTGTTCCTCCCTTGAACTGTCTGTTTAGTCTGAGGTTTTTAAACTTGCAGGCAACTGACTGTGATGTCCAGTTGTTCCTGCTTTTTGCGCATCATGTCGAAAGTAACCGCTGTTCTCACCCACAGATTCTTTCTCTGGCACATACAATACTTCTCTGTCAAAAATCCCATCCTGGGGAAAGGAAAAGTCACATTTATTCCTGCACCCCAATTTCTTATCCCCTTCTTCTCTGGGTATAAGTGGGGAGATTGGAACGAGTACCTCCTCATAATGGTGGGGGTGCTGCGAAAAGAAACAAAGTCTACCTTGACTTGGTGGTATGCAGCGTACACCACGGGTTCTATAATTCTCATCTTCTAACCTAGAGAAATAGGTGCTATATTACAGGGAATTAAGCAAAATGCTGGATGCTATAAATCTTTTGTCTTAATTTTTTTTTCTATTAAACTACAGGCTGTAGATTTCTTAGTTCTCACAGAACTTCTATCATTTTAAACTGACTTGTATATTTAAGAAAAAAAATCTTAAGTAGGATGTTTTGTACTGTTGCCAGACCCTCTTCTGTGACGGGTAATACGTTTGTTTGAGATTTTCTGTTTTTAAAAATGTAGCACTTTTTGCCAAGGAAAAAATAAATATTATTCCAGTGCAGAGTGTTTTGAGTGAGTATGTATAGTCAAGAGATGCAGGGAAAAGGCATTATGATTTGTTGGAAGATGTGCCTCAAGTTAGTGGCAGGGATACAAATACTAAGATCTGGTTGTTTCTGACCCAAGATTGGTTGCTCTGAGGTCCATTTGAGGGTGGATGTGTCCAGGGGAAGTAGTGTAGTGCATAAAAAAGCTGCTGGCTGAAGATGGGGGTGGGCAGAGGATGTTAGTTTTTATTGTGATTGTGGATCTGAGCAAGGTGACTAGCTCCTTTTAAATCAGGGTTAGTGACAGGTCCTGTCTGCCTTATTGGTTGGTTCACAGAGGTTGACCAAGAAAGGCTGCACAATGCCCTAGGAAGAGCATGGCACTTTTTTGCAGTTGGACCCACAGATCCTTGCTGTTCTTTATTTGGAGAGAATAGGGTAACTACACTGAGTGATGAGCTTCTCAGAGGCTATATGACCCTGTAGCTGAGAGAAAAGCAGGCTGCTGAGTTACACCACCTTCCCCATACAGCCCACCAGGACTGGGTCACTGAACCTGGCAAGGAAGTGCCTATTCCTCTGCCACATGGCACTTGTTCCTTTCCAGAACACGCTGACTACAGCTGCTTTTCACTCCTGATTCAAAACATGACTCACGTGGGGACCTCTATGATCAAAGATTACAGGAAGGGGAAATGACTTGAGTCTAAGCAATTTGAGAGGGCTTCCTAGAGGAGGAGAAGAGTTACAGTTGGATAGGGACTGAAACTACACTTTCCTAAAATGAGTATAGAATACCAAATCCTAATGATTTGGGGGAAATGCAAAAACAAAAATCACCTTTACTCTCAGGTTTTTGAAATGTTATTATGGAACTCATGTTACATGGGACATACTCAAAAAGTTGCTATAGAGTATGTGGGGTGGACCTGGTAGGGTTTCTGGCCTCCATGGAATTTTGGCTCTGCTCCCATTTTCCAGCAAAACATGTATCAGAATGGCTTTATGAACTTTATGGTGTCCCCTCCTGCCAGCAGTCCCTTTATGGAGGCCATGAAAGAACTTCCTTGTTCGTTGTCAAGTCACATACCACATGCTTCATTTCAAATGACTCCTCCCATCATTCTTTGAGTCTTTTTACAGAGGGCTGTGGAACAGAAGTGAATTCCTAACACTTCAAGCCTCATTTATGTTCTAGGTTCCCTACCATTCTTTGTTTGCAGGTTTAGCTGTGTTCCTCACACTGATCTTGAACTCATGGGCACATGATCCCACTGCCTCACCCTCTAGAATAGCTGGGTCTAAGCTGGGTACAGTGGCACACACCTGTAATCCCAGCCACGTGGGAGGCTGAGACAGGAGGATCTCAGTACAAAGTCAGCCTGAGCAAAAGCAAAGCTCTAAGCAATTCAGTGAGACCCTGTCTCTAAATAAAATACAAAATAGGACTGGGGATGTGGCTCAGTGGTTGAGTGCCCCTGAGTTCAATCCCCGGTAACCTTCCCCCCCTTCCAAAAAAAAAGGCTCACATAGTTGAACAGATTATTGGATTAAGTAACATAAATAATGATAGAAAATTGTAATGCATACGCTTTGGTTCTGTTTTCTTTGGAAAATAAAAAATTGAACATGCACTTCTATATAGTAATAGCCCAGAATCCATAAATTGGGTGGCAATAACTCCTTGCCACTCTTAAGAGGTGATCATTGATCTGTTTCTCCTTCCTAAAAAACTAAAGACTACTCCCAGCCCAAGCCTCATGGACCCAGCTATCATCAGACAATTCCTAATGCAGGTACCCAGAAATAGCAAGTCAGGATGTCAAGACCCTTGAATTAGTTTTGAGGATCAGTCTCATAGGAGTCAACCTGTGATACCAGTATTTTTATCCCTTTCAGTTGGATCATGTCTGGAAGACAACAATGAAAGAAAGGGTAGACAAAGAGGGATTGCTCAAAGCTATTTGCTTCATGCTAGTTCACTTTATGGGGAACACAGTGACACACACCTATAATCACAGCTATTCAGGACACTGACAGCTGGAAGATCGCAAGTTCAAGCCCAGTCCAAGCAACACAGTGAGGCTCCATGTCAAAAAGACTCCATGCTCTCCATGCATGATAGCACACACTTGTCCCAATGATTCAGAAGGCTGAAGAAGGAGGATAGCAAGTTTGAGGCTAGCCTCAGCAATTTAGCAAGGCCATAAGAAATTAGTGAGACCCTGTTTCAAAAAATAAAAAGGGCTGGGTGCTGTGGTGCACATCTGTAACCCCAGGGGCCCCAGAGGCTGAGGCAAAAGGATCACAGGTTCAAAGCCAGTCTCAGCAAAAGCAAGGCACTAAGCAACTAGGTGAGAACCCTGTCTTTAAATAAAAATATCAAATAGGGATGAGGATGTGGCTTAGTGGCCAAGTACCCCTGAGTTCAATCCCTGATGCCCAAAATAATAAAGAACTGGCGATGTGTCTCAGCCATTAAGCACCTGGGTTCAATCCTCGGTACCAGGGATTTCCCCTTACCTCTACTCTTCCAAAGAAGAATAATGCAGAGCCAGGCATGGTGGTACAGGCCTATAATCCCAGCAGTTTGGGAGGCTGTGGCAAGAGCATGACAGGTTCAAAGCTAGCATCAGCAATTTGGCAAGGCCCTAAGCAACCAAAAGAAACCCTGTCTCTAAAGTATAAAAAAAGCTGGGGATGTGGCTTAGTGGTTGAGCTCCCCTGGGTTCAATCCCCAGTTTTTTATCTATCTATCTATCTATCTATATATATCTATATATATAGATATATATATATATAGATATACACATACACACATAATAATACAGAAGCTGGGTGCAATGGGATGTGGAAGATTAAGATCCTGTTTCAAGGAAAAATTATGAGAAGTAAGAACACTACCACAGAGATAAAAGTATAAGTTGAACTCAAAGATGATTCAGCTTTGCAAGTATGAGCTGTCCTCTCAAATTCTCCCAGGGTAGGGCCTCACATGTCACTCCCTTTGATTAATGTGTAATTGCTGAAGTCAGAATTTTTAAAAGATAATGATATTCATTAACTGAGCTCGGAGTCACTTGTTTACTGTTCTTGTTAACTGTACTCAGAGCGCTGTAATTAGCATGTTATGGACAGGAAGAAAATGATCAACTACTATCTTAAACTTCCTTCACTTCTAGCCTTTTTTTTTTTTTTGTGTGTGTGTGTGTGTGTGTGTGTAAGAGAGAGAGAGAGAGACACTGGATATTTAACCCAGGGGCACTTACTTTACCACTAAGCCACATCCCCAGCCCTTTTATTTTTTATTTTGAAACAGGGTCTTGTTAAATTGCCTAGGGCCACTGGGCATGGTGGCACAAGCCTGTAATCCCAGTGATTTGGGAGGCTGAGGCAGGAGGATTTTGAGTTCAAAGTCAGGCTCAGCAATTTAATGACTCCCTGAAGAACGTAGGGAGACCTCAAAATAAAACAGGAAGGGCTGGGTATAAGGCTCAGCAGTTAAGTGCCCCTTGGTTCAATCCCTGATACCAAAAAAAAAAAAAAAGTTGCTTAGGACCTTGATAAATTGCTGAGGGTGGCCTTGAACTTGGGATCCACCTGCCTCAGCCTACCTTTTCTCTGGGATTACAGGTATGCTGCCTCCACACCCAGTTTTCTTTCTTTTTTTAAGCTAGTGGCAATATGGACAGAAGACTGAAAATAGCAGTGAGGACTCTTTGTTCTCCAGATGTATGGTTTGGATCTTAAGTATCTTCCAAATACTCATGGGTTACAGGCTTGGTCCACAACTGATGGTATTATTGGGAGCTGATAGAATTGTTTAGGAGGGGGCCTACTAGGAGGTAATTGGGTCATCAGGGGCATGCACTTGAAGGACATATTGGGATCCAACCCTTTTCTCTGTCTTTGATTCCTGGCTGCAATGAGGTAAGCAGCTTTGCTCCCGCCATGCACTCCCCATTATGATGTTCTATCACAAGCCCAAAAGCAATGAGCCAAGCCAACCTTGGACTGAATCCTCTGAAACTGTGAGCTAAATAAACCTTTCCTCCTTTACATTTTATCTCTGATATTTTGTCATGGCAAATGAAAGCTGACTAGCATATCAGGGTCAAGGTATTTGTCAACAACAAAGACCCACCCCCCAAAAAAAAAATTGGGTACCTTGACATATAATGTGTGGAGGTTTGAGCAATAGCATGTTGCTTGCCTGAAAAAAGATTCCTCATCTTTACACCAAGCCCTTTGACCTTTTAGATCGTTATGCTAAGAATACAAAATAATTGCCACAATCACCATACTTAGGATTCCACTGTTAGATCTTGTTTTTGTTTGTTTGTTTGTTTTGTTTTGTTGTTGTGTTGTTTTCAGTTGGGGGTGGTTTTTAACAATACTAAAGCAACAACTCAGGAGCTGAGGCCAAAGGATTGCAACGTTGAGACCAGCTTTAAGCAACATGTTTGTTGTTATTGTTTTGTTTTGTTTTTCCAATCAATCCTCCAGAATTGAACCCAGGGGTATTTTACCATTCAGACACAAATCCAGTCCTTTTTATCTTCATATAGGGTCTCACTAAGTTGCTGAGGCTGGCCTTGCTATCCTCTATCCTCCTGAGTTACTGAGATTACAGATGGGCACAGTGGTGTCCAGTTGGTGCAGGGAAATCTAAAAATAGGAAATGATCCCTGTCCTCAGATAAACATTATAATAGGATTTGTTAAAATTTTATGTGGATCTTATTTTCCCTTCCAAGAAAACATTGGGAATTGTAGTAGTTTGAATGTGTTTCCTCCCAAATTCACATGCCCCCATAAATTCAGAATGCAACCATCAGAGCTGGGGGCAAATGTCAGTGGTAAAGCGTGGGCCTAGCATGTCCAGGGCTCTGGGTTGAATCCCCAGGATCCAAAAGAAAAACAACAACTTGGGAAGTTGAGGCAGGAGAAGTGCAGCCTCAGCAATTTAGAGAGAACCTGTCTCAAAAGGGACTGGAGATATAGTTCAGTGGT